CGTAACAATACTTACTTGGAGTTATGGTAGTCGATTTTAGCTCAGAAGTCCTGAACGCACTTTTCTGGCTTAGTGCTTAATGAATTTTGTAAAAAAATGTTTCTTTCTACGCCGGTTATATCACAAATTAAAGCTAACTAACTCATCTGAATCTTATGAAGGTTAGCAGAGTACTTTTGTGCTTAAAGTGACAGTCTTAGCTCCAATACATTCTTCTTTCGGTTCTCGGTGGGACCAATTTTAAAATCCCTTAAGCCCAACTTTTCGCAAAAAGTGAAAGATCCAGGGACATGAAATTACTAGGAGACTCATCAAAGTTCAGCACCGAAACTCAATCGAAATCACGCTTCATCATTTAGCTAGCAAAAAATCAGGTTAGAGGTGGATAATAGTTCCTGGTCTAAAGGAGTTCATAAGTAATGTTTTCTTTAAATTAGCATGCATCACAGGGCCCTATAAATAAACTAGAAAGTTCAAGGCTTACCCGGCCACAATGTTTGGATACTTTTGACGAAGCCACGCAGCCAACATAGCTCCATAGGATCCACCAAATGCAATTACTGGGTTGTTTCCCATATTTGTATTGTTGAGCTTAAAGTCTCTCAGAAGGCAGGCGTAGTCAGCTAAAGCCTGATCCGTGGTCAAGTAACCGAATTCATTTTTGCTCTGGACAAAAATGATAGTCCCCAAACGATCAAGTTATTAGCGAAATGTAAAATGAACTATGTAATATATAATATAAAAAGCATTCACATATAATTTTTAACTCAAGAGAGTACATAAAGGTCGTTTTATATGCCGTCACAGGTTACTAAAATATGGCTTATGTACAAAATATTACCAGCCTTCAAAATAATAATAGTATCAAGATTTTGCAGTTAATGGCCTATAAGTTCGTAGCATTGATAGTAACCGAAGGTACTAATCTGATAACTAACGCTGAAAAGTGCGTAATCACGGTGCTGCTCAGTGAAATTAAAAAGAACCAAGTCACAGTAGCATTCATGAAGTAATATGCTATTCAAAATAATTCAGACACATTTAGGGTAAATAAAATTCTGGTATACATGATTTGACCCTACGTAAATAATATATGCAGAATTGCAGAAGATATATAAAATTAAATCCTAGTCATATATTTTCTTCATTGAGGAGTTTGAATCGCTCCATAGAGATTTAACACAAAATCAATTTTTTCGA